ACTTCGACAAAAATATTGGGAAAATTGTACCGCCAGAGTAGATCGTTGGAGCAAGCTCACAACCGTACATATATTATAAATCTTCTCAAAGATGCCTTTGTTGTCGACAAAGATATGATGTATCCTGGATACAAGAAGTATCTAGATTCCGCACATATGTCGTATGACCTGTACAATGAAAAAGTCTTGCAGCTAATGTCTCTATACGGAATAGAAACGGAAGCAGAAGTTGTTACTGGTGCTATTCAGAAACTAAAGAAGACACGAGGTTATCTCCAAAATGAAAAATATGAGATAGAGAAAATCATCCAAGGAAAAATGAGCATTATTAGACAGAAGGTACGGGCAGATTTCTTTGAAGAATTCAGTGAAGAAGGAGAAAACAATTCTGTTTCTGCAGATGATACGAAAAAATTCCTCGCAAAAGCGTCAGCTTGGTATGTCGTCGCGTATGATGTGAAGTCTCAGTTAGTCAACACTGGGAAACGTCTCGTCAGCTTCCCATGGATTATGAGCGAGTTCCTCTCCCAGATAAAAGCAAATGCATGCCTGGCCACCAGCGAGGAGACAGCAGACAAATCAGCTAAACCAGAAAGACCAGAACTCGTCCAAATCGGCTCATCAATAGTAAGGCATTTTGATACGAGACACGAGGATCGGCTTGCAACATTTCAGTTCCTCCAAGTAACTTTCACCATGATTTCTGATCATCTCCATCGTTTTCTCGGACCGGGGATAAGAGTGTCCTTCACAGGACTGCCATCATTGTGTCTAATGGATATGTACACTCGTGATATCAATGTCTGTCTGGAACTGCAACAGCAAATCACCGGAAAAGATTTCAACACTCTGTTAAAGAATGTTATGGCAAGTTATATGGCAGGTTATCGGCCTTTAACGCCGAAGTCATTCATCGTCCGAATAGACGTAGATCCTGTGACTGTCACATTTAGCCAAAACACCATCGATATAGGCAGAACAAATTTCATCCGACGACAACTTCAAAGAAGCTCAACCTATACGCTCATCCTGACGTTTCTTCTCGACTGGGCGAGAAAGTACACAATTATTGGCAGATCCCCAAACGCATTGTTTTCTGAAGTTGTTTTTACGTTGCTGGTTCTCAAACTCTTGTCAGATGTAGATAGCAAATCAACAGAAATAAATACAACGCATGACGACATGAATCACATGAATGTATCTTCTTGGCTTCCAGGAAAAATAACTGCAAGCAAACAACTTCACACAGCTAGTCTAGTGATGGCCGTCTTGCGAAATTTTAACTCTTTGCTGATCAGCGATGAGAAAGGGGAAATTCGAATAAATGTGCCAGACCCAACAGATGATGTCAGAAGTCAACGGTTTCTGGTACCTGGTCATCTAAGGTGGAGGAAATTCAAACATCTGACGGAGGAAATTCTCTTCGTTTATCAAGAAATTGCAAAAAACAGATCTGTAAATATCTTCTTTGAACAAAACATCATTGAAGAGGGTCATCTGATGATGAATCTGCCATTAGAAACTTGGGGGTCTGTAATGTTTGCAGAAACCTACACCGCTAGACGATTGTCAGAAGAAACCGGCGCAGAAATCAGCATACGAAGAAAGACATTCAGGGATACCACTGGACTAATTTTAGAAGCATGGGGAACCCGCGAAGAACTGTGGAATGTTCCACAATCTCTTCAAGATCTGAATGACAAATCATCAAAGTTCGTCACCACCTCAGCACGAGACAAAGCATTTATTGGTGGGGCATACAAACGTATATTCTATGGGTCGACAGGTCCGGATCAACAACTCACATTCGATCGATATACCGGTAGATGTCAACCAGCGCACAAGCAACTCACATTGTACGTTCCATTCTTAGACTCATCTTGTCAGAATGATAAGAATACAGCTTTGGAAAAGTTCAAAGAAGTATTCAGGACACAGATGGAACTCATCCGACAAGATTTCGAGAGAACATACCATGGGGATCTAAGAATTGCACTTACATTCGGAATATTCTACGTATTTTATGTTGAAAATCCCCAGTTTACGATATCAGAATTTGAAATGGCGTTTGAAGGTAATGTCAAACCACAGGAAAAGCAGCTAGAACTGAATCTGCCAGGGCGTGGAGGATGGCGAAATCGCAAGAGGCATGGCCGGTTTACTAAACCTAAACCAAGACACATAAGAGGCTCTTTCATGCCTACGGAGTGTGACAAAAACAACGTCAGTGCTTTCCTAGGCAACTCGAATTTCAAAGAACGCCATGGAGAAGTAAAGTATCATGCCGCTTTCATGTTGGGCAATCAAGATTATGGAAAACCACATGAAGGTCTCGTTATCCTTGACAAAGATCTCCTGTTCATTGAGCTTCGGCTTTCTGATTTGAAGTGGATGGCGGTGGACGTGTGTCGCGGCTATAACGGTATACCTAATACCAACAAACGTCTAGATGTCCGGTGTAAGCTGCACTCACGACGTCTCATGGACATGGAAGGAGTACAAGAGATGGCCGACACGAAAATGCTTTTGGAGCCTAGCACACGTGTGCTGTTGAAACCCCAACCGGATGTTCTTTACGTATCTCCGGAGTTTAGGAATAGAGTATCATTCGTGAGAGAGAAGCGCGTCAAATCGTACCATTATGAGGGACCAGTAACAGAATATAGCATTTGGCAGGACATGAGCATCGAAATAGCAACAGTGTTTGAGTATTCGATACCAGATTCTAGTGGTAGATTCCAGGACATGGTAGAAAAACAGGAAGTCACCGTAATACCTAAACTCCCTCCACTGGACACAACGGAAACGGACTGGGACAGTTATGCAGAAAACATTTGGGAACTCATTGAACAATTAGGCGAACAATTTGATTCAGACTAGATGGTTCAACCGAGAGTACATAATGCCACAATATCCTTGCAGTGTTTAAACTGTATAGATGTGTTAATAAGAATGAAATCATTAACAAAATGCCAAATACGAATTATTCGTCATCCGTGAACACTTTCGCTGTTGGCATTGAAATACATTACTGTATTCATTTATACATAGCCAAGACATCGATAGATACACAGCAGAGAAACGACTGTGGTATGCCTTACTATTTTGGGCGCCGCGTACATAAGAAAGTGCATTTATTCCAAATCGTTCGTAAAAGACCGTCTACATTCGTGTTAAAGTGTCATATTGAAACCGGGGCTCGTATTTATGAAACTGTTCTCATGCTAAAGAATGGATTCTGTGCTCAAGTATTTAAGTAGCGGATTTAGTTCCGCTACTAGACTACCGTTCTAAGTTGAAAATTATTTGGCGACATTTATCATGTTTTAACAAAAATATATTTTTTATTTAATACAGGGTTAAAATATTGTCTGAATTTGATATTTGAATTTCAATCATGCGGTGATTAAATCTAACACTTCTCAATTATTCTGTAAAAAACACCTCATCAATTAATGAATGAGCAACATCCTTGTATATTTTGAAAACTCCTAATATTAGTTTATTTCATTTATTATATATATATACATATATCTTTTTAATTTTAGATGCTTGTTATTGAAAGTAGATACTTATGGAATTTGTTTTCATGTTTTCATGTGTATGTTTCCATGTATGTTTATGTAATCAAGGTCGTTTCAAATGC